AAGAAAAAGCACTCCCGAAATGATTTATCCGCGTACGCTGGTGTTATCATTAGGGATACGTAAATACAATGTTCTAGAAAAATATAGATCTTTACTCCGTCTAAAAAAAAGTACGCGATACCATATGTCTATTTCTTATACATAAGACATAATTTGGTATTTTGTGACAAAAAATATTGAAAATTTAAAAGTGATTTATGAGCGTTATTATTAGGCATGGCCTATTTATCCTTACGAACGAAAGTTACTTCATCATCAAGACAATTTTATGAATATAAACTTTGTTATATAAATTATTGTATAAACCATGTTATTTGGACGCATAGTTTAAGAGATAATGTAAAATTAAAATAATTCAATACTTGGCTGGGCGCGCGAATGACGCTTAAACCCTAGCCGTTATAAAATACTTGAACTAGGTCATGTCGCGCACCTCGGACACATGATGACGCGGGTGAAACCGCGGGGCACAGATAGTCTAGTATATATTTACTAGCCTAAACGGCTTGGTCATGTATAACGTCTATGTCACACCTATGCCGGTAGTTGTTGGGAGCACTAAGCCCGAGTTGTTGACGAGTATGTTTACAAATAGTCCGACTAGGTAAGTCCAACTTCGACCGAAAGGTCAATCGACGGATTCAACTCGGCTTGCCAGCGTTTGGGAAATTACGACACATCTATTCGTCAGGTATACCTCAAAACTTGAAAACGAGATTGTACAACCAGTGCGTGTTGCCAGTGATGACTTATGTATCTGAGACGTGGTCCTTCACACTGCTGGCCGGATGGGGACGCTCAAGGTCGCTCAGGGAGCTATGGAGAGGGCTATGCTCGGGGTTTTTCTGCGTGATATACTTAGAAATTAAGATATCCGCAGTAGAACCAGAGTGACCGATATAGCTCTCACCACACTACCAAATGTTAGCTGGCAGAGAATGCATTTTTGGCATTAATTTCGCCTTTGTACCAAATGTTTGTTAGTTTGAGTGCAATAAAGAATTTTCTACCTATCTATCTATCTATAGCCCAACGGCTTAGTAAGATGAAGTGGCAATGGGCCGGCCATTTAGCTCGAAGAATTGACAACCGATGGAAAGAAAAGGTTCTCAAGTGGCAGCCTCGTACCGGTAGGTGGAGTGTAGGGCAACCCCTGGAGTTATGAATTAGTAAGACATGCAGGAAATCGATGAATACAGGTGGCTCAGGACCGTGCTTTATGACATTCCTTGGGGCAGGCCTATGTTCAGCAGTGGACTTGTGAAGGGCTGTAATGATGATGATGATGATGAAGACTTGACAGATTTTAACATAAGAGGTGTCGTTATATTCGACTTAATAGAAGTGATATAGGCTATGTAATATTGATATATTGCATCTGCAAATTCAAAATGGAAGGGCAAGCTTTTTTTCAGTAATCTTTTTAACGCAATCGCTTTTTTTTAATTACTGTTATAAACATTAAACTTTTTACAGTAGGTACTCGAGTGCTACCCCAGCTGCACCACTACCTATTATTGCTAATATTCCTTGATTTAATGTTTATTATTACTTGAATTCGTGTTAGTGACAAAGTTAACATAAGTCATATATGCTAATTATACAATTTGCCTCCAGCTGCGGTATTTCACTAACTTACCATTTAAGCAGAGTGCGCCGTTTGTATAATGACGAATCATGTTTTTATTTTTTTATTTTACCTCTAATTATTTTATTTTTATACATATTAACTTAATATAAATATTTATTTTATTCTATATTTTATTTTATTTTAAAAACAAAAAGCTTACATAATGTAATAAACGCCGTCGACTCAGTGTCAATTAATGAAAACCATAAGAAAATCGTATCAGGTCCTCACGACACAGGCATGCCTAGTGTGAGGACCGCAGAATGACAGAACTATACACCCTTGTTTATACACTCCAGCTTTGTTGCTGTGATAAGATCATAGTTTATAATTGTAATTGTATACAATCACCTGATGTTATACGAGTACAACATAATTTTATAGTTTAGTGCTATATAAAACGCCTGTACATATTTGAATAGCAATTTTGCAGATATAAGTAATACATCTTTATATATAAATATTACGTGTCACGTTGTTTGTCCGCGACGAACTCCTAACCATTTCAATTTCAATGAAATTTTGCACACTGTGCAATTTGGCCCAACTTGAGGGATAGGGTAGTTTTTATCCCGATAAGTGACACTCAATATTTTTTTATTGCGAATTTAAGGATTTTTTATAAGTATGAAGGGTCGTCGAAAAGGGCAGAACAACGTCTGCCTGGTCAGCTAGTATTATTATATAATTTAATTAAGTTAATAAAATTAACATGTTATCCTAGTAAAACATTATAATATAAGGAAACAATGAAATTGTTAATATCTAATCTTATTTACCATTTGCTCGGTGAAGGAAAACATCATCACCCACGCATTGATTTTTATAGACTTATTTTTTTATATTATAAAATACCAGTCGTGTCAGGCCACGCACAATGTAGAGGTAGGCTTCCGTAGTCGACAGTCATAATACTTGATCTAAGAAGGGTCTTCTTGATGCTGTGAGCATTATGAGTTCGCGGTTTGACTGATATAACGACTAAAAATAGACTCAAATAGAACGATGGTAACTGAAGGACATATTTTATAAGCAGACTTATAGAGATGTATTCTAATACATTCAAAAAAAAAATATTAAAAAACTTATCCATTTTGAAAATAATACAATATCCATCCAATCATTCACATGCCAAGTCCGTACAAAAATGCTCATAGTTTCTATCCATCTGTTAGTTCCCGGCAGTGCAATCGTAAGATATACATGACCGTAACGAACCTTCTCCTAAACCACCACTACCGTATACTATCCTGAAGGTCACCCGCGTAAACCAAGAGTACTACGAATGAAACTGTAGGCCTAAAATAACTAACTAAAAAATTAGCGAATGTGGTAGGTACGTCAAGATCGCAAAGGAAAACGTAAAGCTATAGTAGTAAATGCATGAATCATTTTCTTCAAAAATATTTTTATTTTTTTACAGTTTACAATAAAATAAAAAAGTTATAATGCAGCTAGTTTTAGGTCATTTTCTTTTAGTCTTTTCTTTCTTCGTCTAGTCTTTCCATCCGTCTCTCAAGAGTTCAGACCTTTTTTCTCAGTAACTTCAAGTAAGTAAGTTCTCAATAAGTTCAAATTAATATCAAATACTAAGGTACAATATGTATATAGGTATAAAATACAAATAACTTTCCGTGTATGGTACAAAGAATGCTTGAGACAGTATTACTGATTGTGTCTCATTATAATTTAAAGTACAAAAAAACGACTTCGCACTGTTTAGGCCTAACCAATAGATATTCGATATTGTTTCCAAAAGGCTTGCAGCAAACAATTTGCTTTTAAATGCAGCAAATTCACAAAGCTTACAGAATGCTCTCTCATTCACCGCAGAATGGTGTATTAATTAATTTATAAAATAATAGATTATATTTCAATAATTTCGACCGAATGTCTCGAAATTTCTATCAATTTCAAGCTTATAAGGGGAACACAAATTCTATGAACTAGCTTCGAAATTAAGTTCTTCAAATTTCGTAAGAAGGATTAAACAACTGATTAAATAATAGCTAAATGAGTCTAAATTGCTTATCGGAAGCCTTAGAATTAGAAACGAAATTCATTTTGCATAAGCAAGCAATACCACTGACCTCTATACAAGTACGCTAGACTGGCTATACCTATACACCTTGACATAATGTTGCGATTTGATTTTCGCTATTTTGGCGCTGATAGTAGAAGTGAGTGTCCGCGGAACTAATAATAGAGATAGGACAGTGTCAAAATATATCGATAAAAATTCAATACCCAGGCCTACCATTCCATTTATGTATCATTTTAATATAATGTAATACAATAAGTAAATGTATCAATTAATACTTCTTCTTAGACACTTAGACACAAGCTTTACCTTATATAAAACAAAAATCGATGCTGCGTTAGTCTATCTACGTTTTTCTTCGTAACTATAGAACGGGTTTTGTTCCGAGTTTCACTATTGGGTATGTATGGTTCACTCGAGAGGTTTAAAAAGGTCCAATGAGTAGGAAAACTGGTGTTAAAAAATTAACACGCTCTAAAGTATAGGATCTAAAATAATTCAACGCGTATATTATATTTATGTAATAAAAATACTCTGCAATTTCAAAGTTCAAAGTATATTAGCATTAAGTGATTTTCTTTCCATGAACATAAAAAATGTCTTGCAATATATTCAAGGTGGATAGAGAGGAAGAGTTTGTAAAACAAACTTAAGTGTGGAGATTGTATCGCAGTTTTGCATTTTATAAAGATAAAAGAGGTTAACTTTATCCATCAAAAGACGTGATGGATGTATGTTTATTTTGTGAAACAATATTGAGAGTAAATATAAAGTTTAAAATCTTAATAAAAACAAATTACAATTTTTTTTAAAACGTTACTTCCACCCTAAGATTTTCTCCTGTATTGTGGGTGCAGTTTACATACATAGATTTCACAAGTACAAACATCCAGACCCAGAGCAATTATTTGTAGGCCATACAAATACTTGTTCTGTGCGGGAATCGAACCCGCGACCCTTAACGCTGCAACTCATTGCTAAGCCACTGCGCTACGGAGCCGTTAATTAATCGTCTCCAGGATCTTAAATAACTTTTAGTTATTTTTTTGTTACGCTAAAGAAGTATAACTACCTACATGCGTACATAAGTACACACACACGTTTTTTTTAATCAGCGAGGTCCTTCGCACAAAATACAGAATGGGTAAGAAATTTCCCGCATTTTCAGGGAAATTATTAAGTATCCAAAATACCAAAGGAATGTTGCAAGTGCATTGCTAGCATTTTATTGTATATAATATTTAACAAGTGTCCTGTCAGTAGTTTGTGTCTTTTACACATTATGATATGAAAACAAAGTAAAGATATTAACAACAATGAATAACTCACAATTTAGCACCAACATCAGCTTCTAAAATCCCGGCTTCCTCCAAGCTTTCTGCCTCAACAACATTTCCTTTGATATTTTCAGACATTTTGTATTCTTAAAAATGTTGTAAGAATACTCATAAAATGTTTTCATAAAATATAAACAGCTAATTAAGGAGTGGGTGTAGTAAATTTACTAGTTAATCTGTGTAGTAAATATTGTACATAATAATATGTAATCAACGTACTTTTTGGCAAATATTGTAACGACCAAAGAGAATACCAATCAACATAACAATCAACGACCAAAGATTTTTATTTAAAATTACTGGCTGACTTATTATAGACCGACATAGTGCGCAGGGGAGAAGAAAATTCATTGTTATGGCAAAAATGCAAGATAGAAAAGGATACCAAATGTCATAAGTCTGCACCTTACCGATTTTGCATGACAGGTCGGCACAAGTCGGCACGCAAGAAATAAGCTCCTAAATATTATGTAATTTTTTATAGTTTAATAGTGGTAATTTTTAGTAAGATTTTTTTCCCAAATGGTTACTTGTTCTGTGAGTGTTAATAATAGAAATAATCCTGATAATTGCACATTTAACAAGTAAATATTCAAGACGTCAATGTTATAATGCGTTTATTTTTGGTTAAAATTTATGTTATATTATGCTGTTTAAAATATAGAATGTTATCAATTACTTTGTTAATTTTGATATTTTGCAAAGAAAAAGTAACGTTGTTGATAATTTGCATGAATTTGGTAAATACATTTATACATAGAATATTTTACATGTACCCCTAGCGTAGCTACATGTAAAATATTTTGACTCAACTAAAATCATTGAGATATAAGTACGTAGTACATTATATCTCAATGACTAAAATTAATGTCGATATTTATCTTGAATGTTTATATTCAATCGGATAGACTTGCCCACACAATAAGAAAATAAATCCTCGGTTTACGCTCTAGAAATGTAATTTTATTTTGCCGTTTGTCAAAGAGATTCCCTCCGGATTATATAATTAGAAAAAAATGTTAAGGTTAATTGGACGGGTTGATTTGAATCCAAAGACAAACAACAATTTGCAACAAACATTTACTTGAGAACTACAAAAAAAAAGTAGAATAAAAATAATTTTATTAAAAGAAGTCATTTCTACATTATTTGTACCAGTAAGTATAATATTGTTATAAAGAGACTTCAAAAATTAAACTTTCAAAACTTTAGATAAAAATAGAGACATATTTTTATACATAATAAAACTGTATTACATTAATCTAAATATATCTTGGGATTATCATATTTAAGCCATTATGAACCAACTAAGTGTCCATTTATCAACCGAAAAAATGTATAACCTTACTTCACCACCCGCACCTCACTGTCACACTAATGCAATATTCATAGCATCACGTTATTTTTCCCAAGGGGTTGCGCAGAGTTACACATTATATTCCCAAGTCAAATGATAAAACTTTTAGCGTAGTTAGATATAATATATTTAGTAACGCTCGTCAAGCGCCACCTACGCCCGCGCATGAGATGCGCGGTTCAATGTGCCAGGATAGTATAAATCCTATAGTATTTGATACTCACAGCGCTCGACGCCCGATACATGCTTGATGGCCAACGACATTGTGCCGAGGACTTAAATGGTGTGGTTCATCGCCTACAGTGTTAGTCGTAGAGAAGAGGAACTGTGGTTAAGTAATAGCTGCACTGATCAATAGATCTGCGAGATTAAGTTGCACTTGCCGCGGTCAGTCCATGAATGAGTGACCATTGTCTTAACATACCGAGATTGAGAGCATAGAGAGTGCATCTGTATTCTCAGACACTTGGTGCACTTGACTCTGTTAAGATCATTATATTTTTAAAATTCGTGCAGCTAAAATGATAACGAGTTTATTATTACTTATACTTTTCAGGGAGAGATGAAAGAATATAAACATGAAGTACGATGAAGCCTCATAATAACATATCATAATATATTGACAGAATCAAAATGCAGAATTCGTTGTCATCCCTGAGGACTAAGATGAAATCCCTCGCTTCCAGTCAAATAAGACTCCGGTTTTTACAATCATCTTACGAAATACAGTAGCGCTGGTTTTGCAAAGTTCATTGCAGCATTGGGATTGACAGGGTTCGGAACGGTTCTCAGCCTTCACTCCTTGTCTGCGTTCCATGGCACTCTCGCTGATTACTTATCTTAATATAGGTGTTCACGCACCTAGCTGTCCCTACAAAGATTTACCATAAAGGGGCCCATACAGCTGTTAGGTTCGACGGACAACTAAGGACGGGACCCAACTGGCCTTATGGAAAATGTCCTATCCTGCTACACAATAGGGAGAAGGCTAGGTAAATAAATAGTACGTACCTGTTCAGAGGCGAAGAAGGCTCCCAGGGCTCGTTCAGGCGTAATTGTCGTGAATATGAGTAGTGAGTGAGAAGTGTATATTTGTGTAACCTGAATTAGCCCTTTTAATCAGCAGCCACCCTGACTCCGGCACCGCCCCCGGCGTGGTATTCTCCAGCGGCGGCTGCAATGGACTATTTCTTTCTTCAATTCACTATGTCAGTCTATCAACTTTATCGTACATTTAACTAACTTCAAGACGCAACTAAATTCCGTTAATTATAATCAAAAAACGTAACTCACGGATGACCGGTGGGTCAATGTTCACTTTCGTTCACTCCGCAACAAATTGTTTCGAAAACCGAACGCGACCTTTTAAGACGCTTAACGCAATGCTACAATTAAACACTAACTTCTCAATAATTAGCCAACCTGGCGTCTAATGTTCTAGACTACACAATTCTTCGTCGCTGCACAAATCCGTTAACAAAATCGGCGCTATTATAGGCAACCACGCGGCTCGATTCGACTCACAGCAAGCACTGCCCGGCCGCCGCTTGACGACAAAAAATCCCGATCTCCCCCGCGCTCAGCGCGTGCGGGGAGGCGCCTGTGAGCCGCGTGCCCGCCGGTGCTAGCTACATCGAAGAAGCGCACTAACGTGCCTACGTTATAGTAATTTTAAATTTTAGCGTTTGGCGCAAACAATAGGCAACTCCTAGCTTTTGCACCTTTGTCGACTACTAAGCTGCACCATCGATTTCCATCCTGAGCAAGTGATGTGGCAAAGCGCTACAAACGAAACGAAACCAAAGCCTCAATTGCGTTATCGCTATAGATTACACACGGGCGAAGTCGCGAGGAACAGCTACTATAGAATATATCCATCGCTTCCCGGGCTGAACATCTTGCCCCGCGGAAAAAAAAACACTTTTCCTTACATGGCAAAAAGCTCTTTAGCAAACGGTTTTTATATCGCGTTTGACAGTAATCACAGCGATTTGTGTGTCATATTATGATCATATTGTGCAAAAAAAATTATTTCAAGCAAATTAAATGAAAATTATACATTATGTACCTACACACAACATTTGCACTCTGTTGTGTCACGTGTTACGCAATTACACAGATCATATTAGTCTATGCTCATATTATATGCTCATTCTGTTTAATCTGTGGTGAAAGGGTGAGTGAACTGCCTCATTGTTATTTATTGCATTTGCCTCTAATAATACATTAATTAGCCGATTTACGGGTACAGTGAGTGCAATAACATACATAACAGGCCGTGACAGCCATGCCGATGTGAGTAATATCAGAGGTGTGGCGCGTCTCAGTGGGGCGTTGTTTGGTTGAGTGAGTGACATTAGTTAAACGAAAAAATATTCCTTAGATCTCGTTTTAAGATGACCGAGTACAAGTTAGTAGTGGTAGGGGCTGGTGGCGTAGGTAAATCTGCATTGACTATACAGCTGATACAAAACCATTTCGTAGATGAATATGACCCTACAATAGAGGATTCTTATAGAAAGCAAGTTGTGATTGACGGTGAAACTTGCCTTCTGGATATCTTGGATACGGCTGGTCAAGAGGAATACTCCGCGATGAGGGATCAATATATGCGGACAGGTGAAGGTTTCCTGTTAGTTTTCGCAGTGAACAGTGCAAAAAGTTTTGAGGACATTGGGTCATACAGGGAGCAAATCAAACGAGTGAAGGATGCAGAAGAAGTACCGATGGTCCTTGTAGGCAACAAGTGTGATCTCCAGGCGTGGGCCGTGGACATGACGCAGGCTCGAGAGGTATATATTGTTTACTAATATACATAATTATACTATGTTACAATTCAATTGTCTACAAATATAAACAACAGCTCTTACCTAAAAATATTAAGTATTCAATTTTATAAAATTATATACATAGTAGTGTAAAATACATTGTTTTTATATTGTTATGAACTTTATTTAATATAACCACATTATTATGTACACTTTAGTCTTGACATTTGAACATTGTATTGTTTTTAAAAACCAGCTTTGACTTCATTTTTGAAAATATGAAAATAATATGAGCTTAGATAATTTACCCTTAAATATTAGTTAACACTCAATTTGAATGTATGTTAATTTTTTATGTGTGCTACCTCTATAACTTTTTCTGCATTAACTGATTTCAATGATTCTTATTTTATTTGAAAGCTGGTGCTTCTCATGTAGTCCCATATAAATTTGATCAAAGTCTGACCTATAGTTTTTTAATTATTCTCAATATGGTGGATATAATATCCACAGTAGATAGAAATTGGGAGATAGACTTAGACTTAGATAGATTTTTTATATGAATATAAACTTCAACCCACGTCCAATAAACTAGGATAAAATTGCCCTTTTCAAATGTCAAAAAAGCATAATTTTTTATCTTTCATTTGGTTCCATGCTATGGACGGGGGATATATGTGTACTCGTTATGTCAAACGGGAATATACTTCTCCCCATTTGACATAACAAGATAATTTTATCTCTTGTCAGTGGATATAATCAGGGATAACATTTTTGTCCACCGCCCATGCTAGCCGGGCAGTTGGGAAATCTTGGGATTTTTGATCAAAAAAATGCGACAAGTAGTTGACAAAATTATTATTATTATTATTATTATTATATATAGGCGAGCAGCTCATAGCTGATATGCCTATATCTGTGTTGGTGTCTTATGTTAGTCCAAGTTCACACTAAGAATACACTAAATTGGATTGTCTTTACACCATTTGTCCAGTTTGTTTTTAAAACTAATCACAGAGGGAGATTATGTTTTTTACTTTATTATTATATGTTGTAGAATTCCAATTAGGTGAGTGCCGTAACTCCGCACTTTGAAATATAGAAACATGAATCCCAATGAGTACAATAGACAAATCAATAAGTCACTATAAATTAGTTCATCATCATCATTACATCCCTTTACAAGTTCATTGCTGAACGAGGGTCTCCCTTAAGGAATTCCACAAAGCACGATCCTGAGCCAAATGCATCCATAGACTTCCTGCATGTCTTACCTGGTCGTAACTCCAGGGGTTGCCCAAAGAATTTTGAAGAGACTGAAACAGGTGAAAATCTGAGGGTGCAAGGTCAGGACTATATGGTAGATGCATCAACACTTCCCAACCAAGCTCTCTCAATTTTTGCAGAGTGGCCAAACATGTGTGTGGTCTGGCGTTATCATGATGAAAGACCACTCCTTTTCTGTTGATCAAGTCTGGCCATTTTTCTCAAATTCTTGCTAGAGTCATATTATTGTTGGCAGTAGAGATCCGAATCGATGGTTTTGAGTGGTTGTAAAAGCTCATAATAAACAATGCCCATCCAATCCCACCATACACACAGTATCACCTTATTGCTTGTTAATCTGGGATTTGGTACAGTCTGTGGCAGCTTGACTACTCTTTTACCATGATCTTTTACACACATTCTTGTCATAAGTGATCCACTTTTCATCACAAGCAGTCAATCTTCAAATATGGTTCAATTCTATTATGTTTCAATAGAAAATTGCAAATGAGTACACAATTCATTGGGTTTCTTTCAGTGACTTTGTGTGGTACCCAAATATTGAGCTTTTTTGTATAGCCAGACTTTTTCAAATGGTTCAAAACTGTTTTGTGGTCAATTCTTAATTCCTTGACTGTGTTGTAACTACTAATATGCTGATCTTTTTCCAAGTTTTCAAAAATGGCATCGACTTTATCCATATGAGGACGAACAGAGCGAGCTGCATGTTTGACATCAAACTTCCATGACTGGAAACACTTGAACCAACTTTGTGCTACTCTTACTGACACTGTATTAGGTTCATAAACGTCACATTTTTTTCGCGCATTGACTCGATTTTTTCCCTTTTTTGTAATAAAACTTCAGAATGTATCGAATTTCTTCATTAGATTCACTAATTTTGGCGGACAGTAAAACAATTAAAAAATGCTAGGAAAGTGTTTTTTACTTTTTATATTTCTTTTTCACTATGTCCTATAATGTATTGATATTAAATGGTTTTAATATCTATATATTAGGATACAAACAGTACAACCGAAGAGATTTTTCTTCAATTTTATACAAACAAAATATGAAGAAACTTTTTCCCCCACCTATCATTTAAGGTGGAAGATATCTAATTCACAATATTTTATTTTATTTTCTACTTCGCTTCCGCTTCGAAAAGGAGATGGTACTCAATTCAACTGTATGTTCATTTTTTATGTGTATTACCTCATAACTTTTTTCTAGGTTAACGGATTACGATGATTCTTTTTTTATTTGAAAGCTGGTGCTTCTCATGTAGTCCCATATAATTTGATCAAGGTCTAACCAATAGTTTTGAGATATAATATAAGTTGTTAGATATTGAAATTTTTAATTTTAAATTATATTATAGCTGCATTAGTATTAACAAACTTTAAAGTTTTACGCTATTGGTGTTAATGAAATCACATAGAATATATGTTATACAAAAGGAGAGTTTGTGTAGATTAAAAGCGAGTCAAGGTTTATAGAATGAGGGATGTCAGGAGGGAGATGATTATAAAGTGAACAAAATAATTCAGGCAGTTTAAAAAAAATATGGTTGGTGGTTCACTCATCTAACCCACAGTCACAGGAAGTTCTCCCAGATCCTCAATTTGGCTAAATGCACTTGTGTACAAGCATGGCCAATGAGACTGACTCCACAACTTTTTCTGCCACTAGGGCGGCACCACTTAAAAGTGTGGTATAATATTGGACAGATTTCATAGCGGGGAAGTTGATTTGTTTGGAAAATGTAAAGGTTAATGTTTCTTTCTGTACTATTAATTATATTTTATATTAATAAGATTAAAAATAAATAAACCAAATCACAAGTATGCATAAAAGTAGGAAAATTAAAGAAAGTTTAAAATGTACAAAAAATTAAAGAGCAAACCAGGCATGCATGAGGCATTGTTTTGTGTATTAATATAATACTATAGAAATTGATACTTTTATTTAAAACTAACTTCTCAATTAAATTACATTGTGTAACAAAAAACTTTACCTCATTGTCAACTAGCGACATCTGGTGAGCAGAAAATTATTAGCCCTCATTCTAAGACTCCATCTAGTGGGGGGTCGCCCTACACTTTGCCTACCAGTACGAGGCTGCTACTCGAGAACCACTGCCACTCTTCAGCTTGCCATTGGGCTGACAAGACATATCCGACACTATCCAACCTCATAAGACATGCAAGAAGTCGATAGATGCAGGTGGCTCAGGACCGTGCTTTGTGGTATTCCTTGGGGGAGGCCTATGTTCAGCAGTTGACTTATGAAGGGCTGTAATGATGATGATGATGATTCTAAGACTACAAATAATTGTTGTTGCATGTATGTTTGCTTTATTAAATTTGAAAAACCATGTCTTTGGAGGAATGGAACATTATTGCAGCATAGTGCTTACCTTTTATATTTTGAGTGCCTTTCAATAACCTATTCCAATTAATATTTAACTTCTGCTTTGCAAGTAACACTATGTCCGGAGAGTAAATTATATTACATGGTGAACCACTTTGAATCGCATTTTAGTCAGCAGATCCGCTGTTTCATTGCCATTGATGCATGCAATTAAATTTACTTTATTAATGAAAAAAGTAAACGAATACCTCCAAATAGAACAAAAACCAAGGTTAGCACTTATAATGGGAAGATTTAATGGTTGACATGGAAGACATGGTTGAAGTCTTGAAATGAAAACTTAATTTTATTTAACACACATTCCACCTGATGGTATGCGGATGCTATGGTTCATAGACCGACATTAATCATCATTTAACAATCAAATACGAACTACTGAGAACTAAGATGGAATGCCTCATTACAATTAAAAAGGGCACCTGGTTCTCTATACTCATCCATACAAATAGCAGTGACATTATGCTGCTGTATCATGCTGGTTTTCTGTGAGAGCATGGTCCTTCCAGTCCGGCTGATCCATTTGTAAAGCCCTACCACATATATTCAAAGTAATAAAATTAAATGCTCAATTATTATTTTCAGGTAGCGCGAAGTTACGGTGTTCCTTTTGTAGAGACTTCAGCCAAGACACGAATGGGCGTCGATGATGCCTTCTACACCTTAGTCCGAGAAATCCGCAAAGACAAGGAGAGCCGCGGCAAAAAGTATAGGAGAGGGAATAAGATCGGCTCACGGCGAAGGATCAAGTGTGAACTACTCTAAAGTTATCGTATCGTTATAGAAATAAGTTTGCGAGTAAAATATTCAATTCATTGTCTTACAGTTCCAATGTTAATGAATTATTAACTAATTGATGGTGTTGGTAATGAGATGTTTTGATAAGTCATCACGTTCACGATTTTGTGCCTCTAACAGATTCTAAAATATTGCGTACCATCATTTTAATAGCTGACCGCACTTTGTGTTACTTATGACATTTTTCTTTAAATTAAAGATGCCCATTTACTAAGTGTCGGTCGGCTAAAATAGAATATAGTGTAAATTGACATATTTTACACAATTACCAATGTAAAAGGCTTTTCGACTTGAAATCAAAATGAGAATGTCAATTTAAATTGACTTAATCTGAAAAAAGCTGAGATGGATTTAGAATAAGAATTACTAATTTGATCGGTGCCTTTTTGATTTGCTTACATGAGTTTGTAAAAGGGACAAAGCAATACACTTTATGCATGTAGTTATTTTCTTTACACTATATTAAGAACAATTATGGAGCCGTTCAAGTATTACGTAAAAAGAATTTTTGTAATTTTTGACTGCTTCCTCACCCTCTTCAACAAAAGTAAGCAAAACTCTTACCTCTCCCCCCTCCGTATACGTAAACATTTATATAAATATTTTTAATCTGTTCTGGTTTCCTTATTGGTTCAAGAGCAGCAGTTTCAAGTTTTCTACGGCAACAAGTCTAGAAATAAGGAATTTATAGTTTATAGAGAGATTAACTTATTTTGGTTTGCTATTAGGGCGATGATTTCCCAGTGGATAAGACCGCGCGCCTCACATGCGTGGAGTTGAAAGACCAATCCCATGCACGCGCCTCTGGATTTGCGAAATCTAAGTGTGGATTTATACCACTATCTCGGCAGTGAGGGAAAACATCGTGAGGAAACCTGCACATAGAATATCCAATTTGTCTGGTTGCACTAACGGTTACGAAAGTCAGATGCCAATCGCTTCAATGTAATAACCAGACTCGCCAAATCCTGGATTATGGTGATGATCCGAATCCAAATCCAGAAAATCCTAAAAAGTAAATAAATAAATATTGCTGACGTAATTAACATCCAGATCCCCCATCCCCCTGTCATCAAAACTAAGCAAATCATAGACCCCCCCCACCCCCTCCCTTCTTTAATGTTTACGTAATACTTGAACGGCCCCTAACCAATTATTTTTATGGGCTTAAAAACTACGTTTACTTGATACAGTTGAATTTGACAAAACTACCAGAAGCTCCTACAGTTAATTGTCAAATTTTTTCCGCTTTTTTTGTACCGGTACTTTGTGCACGCTATTTACTTAATAGCGTGCACAAAGTACCAATAAATTACGACAAATCTTTCCAATTTAGAAAGTCTATGTCCAGCCATTGACTGCTTTTAAGAAGTGTGGGTGAAGTGGATATAGTGATACATTCAATTAATATCAAATAACAAAGATCCTGTACATTTTTTTTTTTTACTTTTATAAGCCAGTGCTTGACTACTGTCCCACCTGATGGTAAGTGGCAATGCAGCCGAAAATGGTGAAGCGCACTGCAACTTGCTTAGCTAAAGCTTATTCACTCTTGCCTTCAAGACACTAACAAGAGTAAGACGGATGCTGGCAAATTATTCCACCCATTTGCTGTAGGCATCATGAACGTAGCAAACCAAAAAACTGGTTCGAATACACAAGAAAGGGGTGGAGATCCGCAAAAATCTGGTGATCCAATCATGGAATGGACACAGCTAACTACTACTAACAGTCTGTCATTGAAGGCGTCTAGACGGGGCAACCGTGCGGTGCGGTACGGGGTAACACGCAGGCGGAAATGTTCCGGTGCAACTGTCCCGGTGACTAATTACCGCACTTTTACAAGGATACCTAACTTCCTTGCAGCTGCTTTGGCCCTGGACTCAGTGAACCGCATAAAGTTCAGGTTCGAAAACCCCTGGAGTTGAGGATTTGAGGGCAACTGAAGGCAGCCGGTGAATTCCAGTGATACATTTCTGAAAGAAGAAGCCAATATGAGCTAGATTATTTTGAATTTAGATTTTTTTGAATGCGTTGAATCTCACGAGAATGGCATCGCACAATGTTATTTTTTAACACACAAATCGTCGCTTTTCACAGAGACGATATGTGAGATGGCACTCACAAATATTTTTATAGATTTTATAAATAATTTAGTGTTGCCATATGTTATATTGTTAGCAATACAGTCGTCAATGATAGAAATGGACTGCGAAAAATCTTATTATTTTAGATTTGATCACTATGCGTTAATAAAAATATCTCCCTAAATGAAGAAAAGGGGATATTTTGAAGAAAAAAAAAGCCAAATTTCACTTTATTACTTTTTCACCATAACTGATATAAGCAGCAGTTCCAACAGCGACTGCAGAGTTTTTACATTCGTGTGCTAGTAGATATTATTTACTAACGGGAATTTTATGTAAGCCAATTTTACCATTTATGACAGCTTGCAATGAGGGCTTAATAATAAGATGCCTTTAGTTGAGACAGGTGAAGTTACTTGTCCCCCAGTGTTATCATTGAAAAGTTGCGTATTAAATAAAATCTTCATCAAATCAATCAAAGCATGAGTGAAAAAGCTTTTGTTGAAATGAGTCAGTGCGCTTTACAATCTTCGGCTGTGTCACCACTTCCCATCAGGCAAGGGCGGATCCAGCTTTGGTGCCAGGAGGGGGTCACATAGTCGTGGTCAAGTCAAGAACATATCATTTAATTTTGATAACAATAGATACAAGTAAAAAGTAGGTATTTTATTAATGTACGTAAGCACTATACTTAAAAATATTTATTCTTTATTGTACACTTGAAACACTTAACACATAATAACTTGTACATATACACGTACATATTGCCATCTTCTCTTGAAGACATCCAGAGAAGCACTATCACGCACGGAATGAGGCAGCCTAATTATATTCCATAACCGTGGTGAATGATTTGTCATAACAGCTAGAGGTATGTCGAGGGGTATGACGCAAAACTCCGCAAAAGTGAAGAGGTGGTACGACAACCAAAATAGAAACAGACAAAATACATATATTTAAATAACAAAATAAATTTTTCTTTTACGTCTTCTCCCGAAACGCGTTATTACGTCATTTACATCAATGGGTACGTTTTTATGAACGTGGAGAAGTGCCAGTCCGGTTAGGCGATCTTCAACCATTGAAGATCTTAGCCACAATTTAACTCTGCGCAACGTAGAGAAAGGCCTTTCTGCTGCCGCTACACCTACAGATAGTGTAGCCATAATTCATATTTTTTTTGATATTAGGATACATATCGATGTCACAATTTAAAATAAGATCAGAAATCGACTGCGGTATGTCCTGGCTCCGCATTTACAATGACAGAAACTGGAGTGTTATCTAGTAATAATGTATAGTCGGTAGCTAGTTGTTTCATAGTTTCAATGTCTTCATTACTATATTCACTTTTTGGTATGAAAACGCTTAGCTGAAACAAATTAAGTACATCAGGAGACAGGCGATACTGGAGATCACTTATTATTGAATCTAGAAGAGGGATGTATTTAGCTCTGCGGAAATACTCTTCAGCAGATTGAGCAGGTTGGTTATTGGCCCTATCTATTTGTTTTGATACTATTCTGGGGCATTTAATTTCTACATCTAGCTGCTCTGCTACTTCTTTAGCCACTTCAAAAAGCTGTCGGTAGATTACGTCCACTTCTATTACGTCTACATTTTCTCTTTTATTTTGTAAAACACTTAAAGTATCATTAATAGCGTCCGCAGCTTTTTTTAAATCAATTGAGTTCGATTGCAGTATTCTGCTTAAAGATACAGTAGTACCTGAAAAATAAAAAGTAAGTGACTGTGACTGTAGTGCATAAACTAAGAATTTATAACTTTATATATATATATATATATATACATTACATCAAAGTTTTCGTTAGGTGCTTTTAAAAATTTTAAGCAAGATTATAAGTTTATGCAAGCCATATTCATTCTGTTGGTTGCTCTCTTATTTTATTTTTAAAGATTTTAGGTTAGGTCAGTAAGCTGGATGCTCTTCAATCGCCCTCGTCCAAAAAAATATACCTATAGGTAGGTACATAAGTCACGCAGCACTCTTTCAGTAAGTAGGTACCTACATATCTACCTATGGGGTACTTTATGAACATTAACAACAATAACATTTAAGTTAAAACACACGCACTGGAATAATGAGAAACTGATTACTTACCATTTCTTGTAATTAATGAATTTGCAGTAACAATTTTTAAGAATACTTATAAAGGTACACTTACAAACACATTACAGGTAGAAAGAAATTTTAGTTTTTTAACTTAGAACTATGTTATGATATGTTGAAGTTTAGTCGTTTCAATTCCGATTGAGATTAAGTCTAGCTAGACGTTACGTAGTCGACAAGCGCGCGCAAGTGTGGCGCGGTAAAATTCAAATTTTCGATGCGTTCGTTCCCAAACGTTTGCAATCATACAAAGTTATTATATTATATTAAATTAATTAAATATTGAAGGTATGTAGTTACATAAAATCTGTATAGTGACAAAATATATAAATAAAATCATTATGTTCAATTAGTGGTCCACCTAAGTCCTGGAAGCAGCTCAGGGGGGGGGGGGTCATGACCCCCATGACCCCCCCTTGGATCCGCCGTTGCCATCAGGTGGGATAGTAGTCAAGCATTAGCTTAGAATGGCTTGAAAGTTGTGTGTAAATTGCTTTTATAATGATAACAGTGTTCAATATTTCATCCGCCAATATTGCACTAATATTGCTAATGTTTCTTATATTTCGGTATACGTAAATACACAAAATATTCAAACAATTCAGAACTGTTTGCCGAATACAACATATTAAAATTTGTACTAAGTTATACGACAAAGAACATCCTTAGTTTTTCGACACGTGACAACGTCGATTGAATTTTATAATTTTCTATTAGCGGTAACGATTATAGAATATAATCTTAGGCCT